AAAAGACTCTAACAAGTACTCTTGAACACAGATTTCTGATAACTTTTAAGGTTAATGAACCAAATTAAAACTTTCAGAACTGTAATAAAGAAACTGATGGGACTGGGCGCAGTGGCTCAAGCCTGTAATCCAAACTGCCTGATGCCATGACCAGAGATATTCAAACTACAAACCAGAAGGAGAAGTTGACGTTTAAATACTGTACATGGCTTTCCCAAGACAAAAGGAATGAGACTCCACATCATAACGAAACCTTTATCCCTCTTAATGCTACCTTTCCACTTAGCAGGGTAACGCCATGAAATTTCACAATCAGTGCCTTCTGCTGGTAGCTTAATTGAACCTAAACTAAGCAATCCTTGAGTGGTCATTGGTTAAATAAGAAAATGTCTGCGTCACTGCTGATACTACATGCTGTACCTAGATAAGTTCCTCTAAGAAAAGTTGAGACCCTGATACACAAAATGAGAAGAGCAGGCCACACAACTGCACCAGGTTTCGCCTAATTTCCCAGGGCCATTCGACTTACTCAGTTCACGTTCTTCCCCACCATCTGCATCAGCTGCTGCACCACCTGCAGTGAGACGCACCATCAGGCTCCGGGACCCTCCTGGGCTCCGCGACAATGAAGACACATGGACATCACACCCAGGGACAGTGCGGCCCTCTCTCTGGACATCTGTCCTTCCTACTTTTTGGCAGAAAATGTTCCCTCCTCTTATTAAATATCGGCACCCAGTCTGATGGTAGCAGGTTCTGTTATTTTTATTTTTATTTTTTAATTATTACTATTTTTGAGACAAGGCTTGCTCTGTTTCCCAGGCTGGAGTACAGTGGCAATTGTTGCTCACTGCAGCCTTGACCTCCTGGGCTCAAGTGATCCTCCTGCCTCAGACTCTGGAGTAGCTGGGACTGCAATCACATGCCACCATGCCCAACCAATTTTTTTTTTTTTTTTTTTTTTTTGTTTTTTTGAGACGCGAGTCTAACTCTAGTTCCCGCAGGCGGTCAGTGTGCAATCTTGGCTCACTGCCAGACCCTAACCTTCCTGGGTTCAATGCGATATCTCCTGCCTCAAGCCTGCCCAAGTAGCTGGGGTATTATAGGCAAAGCCGCCATCATGCCTGGCCTAATTTATTTTTGTATTTTTAGTTAGGAGACAGATGGTTCACCATGTTGGGGTCAGGCTAGATCTCAAACTCGCTGACTCGAGGGTGATCCGGGCCCACCTCAGCCCCCCGCAAAGGTGCTGTGGGATTACCAGGTGTGCAGCCACAGCCATGCCTGGCCAGTTCTTTCCTGTTTTTATAAACTCAGGTTCTTTTGTTTCTAATTTGGGAGATCTCAATGCTATAGACCTTATCTACTTACATTTTTCTTAATTTTGATATCACGTTTTTTTGATTTTATGAAGGGTTCCCTCGTATATTGTTTTTCTTCCTTCGTTTTTTTCTTTTTTTTTTTTTTTTGTGAGCAGAGGTTCGACTCGTATCGCCCAGGCTGAGTGCGAGGGTACAATCTCCGGCCCTCACTGCAAATCGCCTCCTGGCGTTCGACACCATTCTCCTGCCCCTCAGCCTCCTTGAGTAACTGGCGGACTACAGGGCCCCGGCCACTGCGCGCCCGGCCTAATTTTTCTGTATTTTTTAGTAGAGAGAGGGCTTCACCGCTGTTGAGCAGGATGGGTCTCGATGCTCGCTGACCTTGTGATCCGCCCACCTTCGGCCTGCTCGAAAGTGTTGGGAATTAGCAGGTGTGAGCCACGATGTCCGGCGGAGCGTGTTTTTGTGTTGCTGTTTTGTTTTGTTTTATTACAGGCTTCTGGCTCTGTTGGCCAGTGTGGTGCTGCAATTGGTGTGATCTTCGCGCTCACTGCAGCGCTCCACCCCTTGGCCCCGTGATCCTACTTGCCTCAGCCTCCCAGGTAGCTGGGATTACGGCAGGCATGCGGCTACCACATCCAACTCCTCTTCTCATTACTTCTTATAGCGCACTGTGAATGTTATAGCATTCTATTTCACAAATTGCTTTTTTTCGTTTCTAGCGATTACTAATTCTGGGTTCTTCTCACATTCTCCATCTGGTGCCTGTATCCTCGCCTCTGACCGCTCCTTTGGTTGCGGTTCAGGGTTTTCTCCCGTGGGGTCTTGGCAATCTCTGCTGAGGTCAACCCCGCAGGCAGGACGCGCCTTCTGGTGGCCGGGTGGGACTGTCCAGTTTAATTTCCACTGCAGGATGATGGGTGGACAGGGCCACATTCTCTGGGGTCCCAAGAGGGCAACCCTGTCCCACCCACGGAAGTAACGCCTCCTCTGGCCACCCCCACGCGGGAACCCACAGGCTGAGGAGCTGAGCGCTGGTGCCCCGAGGAGGCTGGAGAGCCCCCAGATCACATGTTCCTGCCTGCTGCGGGAGAATGGGAAAGTCGCCTTGGCTGTGCTGGCTGATGTGCGGGGCAGTTCTGGGGTCCCAGACAGTTCTGGGGGCGTGAGAGCCCCGTGTGGGCAGCCCTGCTGTGCGCAGCTCCCAAGGCCTCTCTGCTCCACTGTCGGCGCAGCTTGTTTTGGTTTTTTTTTGAGGCGGGAGTCTCGCTCTGTTCGTCCCAGAGGCTGGAGGTGCGAGTGGTGCCAGTCTCAGCTCGCTGGCAACCACCTCCTCCGCCTCCTGGGTTCAAGGATAATTCTCGTGCTCAGCCTTTCAAGTAGCTCCCTCTGTTGGTCCCAGGGTGAGCAGTGCAATGGTGCGATCTCGGCCCACCCACAACCCCCCCCTCCTGGGTTCAAGCAGTTCTGCCTCAGCCTCCCAGGAGTAGCTGGGCATACAGGCGCCTCACTACACCTGGGTAATTTTTATTTTAGCAGAGGATGAGGTTTTCCGCCACGTTGGCCAGGCTGGTCTTAAACTCCTTGACCACAGGTGATCCACCCGCCTTGGCCTCTCAAAGTGCTGGGATAACAGGTGTGAAGGCCACTGCACCTGGCCTGGCTCCTGTCTTTGACAGCAAAACAGGCGACCCCCATTTTTTTTAGTTTTGGTATGGTAATCATCACCATGTGGGGCCACTTTGGAGTTCCATTTAAATTTACAAGTTATTTTTGACGCAGAGAGATCTGAATGTCACGTAGGATCACCTTTAAAAAAAAAAACAAGGACTACAGATCACAACATCCTAGGAATGTCCTGTGAAGTAGGAAGTTTTATACAACCGAACATTATGTGTCTGGTGGTCGAGGTTCTTCCTAAGCTTTGGTACTGATGGCTTTAAGTGAGAAAACAATTTTCACAAATTCAAACTGAATAAAAAGACTGTTTTGCCTGTGATTGACCATGAGGAAAAAGACAGAGAGCCGCTCGCCGATAACAAAGGGCTGGGAGCATGCATGACAACAGAAAAAGCAATCCAACTTGATTGACAAAGCTGTCAAGCTTGGAGGATGTTAAAACTCACAAGCCAGAAACTGGCCACTCCATGTTATCGTTAATTAATACCGAAAAACCATAGGTTTGGCTCACGGCCTATTAATCGCTGGCCACTTTGGGAGGCGAGGCAGGGTGGATCACCTGAGGTCAGCGAGTTAAGACCAGTCCTGACCCAACATGGTGACAAGTCTCTACTTAAAAATACAAAAATCACTGGGAGTGTGGTGGCAGGTCCTGTAATCCCAGCTACTTGGGAGGTTGAGGCAGGAGAGTCGCTTGAACCAGGAGACGGAGGTTGCAGTGAGCTTGAGGATCTCACCATTGCACTCCAGCCTGGGCAACAAGAACGAAACTCCGTCTCAAACAAACAAACAAACAAAAACAACAACAACAAAAAATATGTTGGCCAGGCAGTGGCTCACACTTGTAACCCAGGACTTTGGCAGGCCCAAGGCAGGAAGGACTGCTTGAGCCCAGGGAATTCAAGACCAGCCTGGGCAACACAGTAAGACTCCATCTCTACTGGCAAACTAAAAAAAAAAAAAAAAAAAAAAAAATTAGCTGGATGAGGGTGGGAGGCCCAGGAGTTTGAGGACCAAGCCTGGCCAACATGGCAAAAACCCATCTCTACTAAAAATACAAACAAATTAGCCAGGCGTGGAGGGCTCACACCTGTAGTCCCAGCTACTCAGGAGGCTGAAGCCGGAGAATCGCTTGAACCTGGGAGGCGGAGGTTGCAGCGAGCCAAGGTCATGCCACTACACTCCAGCCTGGGCAACGACCGAGGACTCGTCTAAAAAAAAAAAAAAAAAAATTACTTTGTTTTTTTTTTTGTTAGTAGGACAGAATATCACTCTGCCACCGCAGAGGTACAGTGGCACAGTAATAGCTCACAAATAGCCTTGAACTCCTGGGGCTCAAGCCATCCTCCGGCATCAGCCTTTCAAGTAGTTGGAACCTAATGTGCATACCACTACACCTGGTTAGAAATATCCATTACAGCAGGCGCAGTGGCTCACGCGCTGTAATCCAGCACCTTTGGAGGCCAAGGTGGGAGGATCACGTTGAGGTCAGGCATTTGAGACCAGTTCGAGATTAGCCGGGTGTGCTGGCATGTGCCTGTAATCCCAGTTACTTGGAGAGGCTGAGGCAGGGAGAATCACTTAAACCAGGAAGGCAGAGGTTGCAGTGAGTCGGAGATTGTGCCACTGCATCATGCCCAGCTATTTTCTTTTTTTTTTTTGAGACAGAGTTGGCTTTTATGCCTTAGGCTGGGGTGAGCAGATGGTGCAATCTCAGCTCACCGCAATCTCTGCCTTCCAGGTTGAAGCAATTTCTCCTGCCCCTCAGCTCCCAGTAGCTGGGATTTACAGGTATGCACCACCACGCCCAGCTAATTTTTTGTATTTTTAGTGTAGAGACGGGTTTCTCCATGTTGGGTCAGGGCCGGTCTCGAAATCCAACCTCAGGTGATCCGCCTGCTTTGGTCTCCCAAAGTGCTGGGATTACAGGCATGAACCACCAGACCTGGCCTAATTTTTGCATTTTTTGTAAAGACGGGGGTTTCGCTATATTGCCCAGGCTGGTCTTGAATTCCTGAACTCAAGTGATCTCCAGCCTCAGCCTCCGAAAGTGCTGGGCTTACAGGCATGAATCTTTTATTACTTTCTTGTGTGTCCTTCCCAAGTTCACAGAAAACACAAGCAGACAGAAATCCATTCTTTCCCACGGTTGCTGGCACGGACTCTGCTGTGTGACAGCACAAGCTCACGTGCTCAAGGGTCTCCTGCCTGCAGCCAGCCCTGGGCCTGCCCTGGACAGGCGGGCTTCAGATTCCCCCCGAGGTTCTGTGCCATTCAGTTGGAGGACAAGAGCTTCCCCACTGTCTGGCGTGGAGGCAAACCTGCCTCCAGGTCCCACCCCTCCCCAGGCCTTTCTCCTTTTATCAAAGGTTGCCCTGGGGGAGGCTCCCTGCGGAGCTGATGAGGAGGGAGCCTCTGTGCCCTGTGCACTGGCCTGAGGGGGTGAGGGCAGGGCTAGGGCGTGGGCTGGTGCAGGGGACTCTAGCCCAGAGCTGCGGCTGCCTTCCTGGAAACACTCCTGTCAGGTGACTACAGAGTGAGAGTGAAACCAGCTTCCCTCAGAGGCTGCAGCACAAGGCTGCCCTGCAAACGTCTGAAAAAAAGAGGCAAGCTCTCGGTGTGAGCAAGTGGACTGCGGCTATTTGAGGTGGGCACTTCCCCTGGGGACATCACCAGGCACACAAGGGTGTCCCTTGTTCACGGTCTTGTAGGGGGCCCAGCTCGGACATTCGGCCTCCTGGCTCTGTCTGCAAGCTGGGCTCTGTCGTCCCAAGACCTGAGTAAAAGGACATGAGGTGTGAGCCTTCGAGGGCGCCAACCACGCCCAAGGGAAGCCAGGCAGCTGCTGGCATTCAGACGCATCCACAGAGCCCTGCTGGGTGCAGAGGGCACACGCAGCCACTGGCTTTCAGATGTATCCACAGAGCCCTGCTGGGCACAGAGGGCAGACGCCAGTGGCACGGTGGCCCCTAACCCCCCGTGCTCTGCAGGCCCAGTGAGCAGCTGTGGGGTCCTCCCTGGCCAGGTCAGTGAGTGGCTGGCGTCCACGGCAGCATCTGCTCTGGTCCATGGTCAGGCCGCCCCTCCAGGGACACTGGTACCCTCTAGTCAGGACACGGAGACCAGGACAACAGCTGCATGTGTCCATCTCCAGGTTCCAACTGCTGCTCTCCTTCTTGCTCCTGCAACCCCAGCCCTCAGGCAGTGGGAGGACGCTAGGGCCTCTCCTGAGACTGCCTGGGGGCATCTCCTTCCCCTGCCGCCCCTGCTGGAGGCCTGGGTGGCTGACTTTTGCTTTCTTTTCCGCAGGAAGGAGCCCACGTGGGAATCCCCTGAGCTGCGCCATGGCCAGAGTGAGTCACCCCTTTCCAGCCAGCAAATGAGGCGAGTCCCCAGGCCAAGGTGTCACAGCTTCCAAGCTGGTGGGCGGGGTGGGGAGGCACTTCCCAATCAGTGTACCTCCGCCTCTCCGTCAGGCTGGTATCAACTTGCTATGCCTTGCAGGCCTGTCATCACAATCAATATTATTATTATTATTTTTGAGACAGAGTCTTGCTGTGTTGCCCAGGCTGGAGTGTAGTGGCGCACTCCTGGCTCACTGCAACCTCCGCCTCCCAGGTTCAAGCAATTCTCCTGCCTCAGCCTCCCAAGTAGCTGGGATTACAAGCATGTCACCATGCCCAGATAATTTTTGTATTTTAGTAGAGATGGGATTTTACCATGTTGGCCTTGAACTCCTGACCTCAGGTGATCTGCCCTCCTCAGTCTCCCAAAGTGCTGGGATTACAGGTGTGAGCCACCACACCCAGCCAGTTTTTTTTTTTTTTTTGTAAATGTGTGTGCCAATCTTCTGGAAACAGAGCAATCTAAAATAAACAAAGGCATTTTCATGAGAGCAGCACTGGGGCAAGTCCTCTGAGACTGGGCGGCACAGGGCAGTCATCCTGGTCACTGCCGGCTCTTGAGGGCTGTGGGCATTTGCCAAGCTTGGGAAACCTTTTCTGGACTTGGGGTGGGGCTGAGGTGGTCTCAGACTCAGCCCTTCAACACTGTCATCATCCAGGACCAGTGAGGTGTGTCACCCCAAGTTGGAGGCCACTGTCTGAAAGCTGTTAGAATGACTTTCCCATTACCCTGAAGGAAGTAGAGTGTCCTAAAACAGGTGAACCCCTCCCCAAAACAAGTGAACCCCTTCTTTTTTCTTTGAGATGGAGTCTTGCTCTGTCACCCAGTTGCCTCAGCTCCTGGTGGTTGGCTGGCGATTACAGCAAGCGCACCCACGCACCCTGCGTAATTTTTGTATTTTTAGAGAGATGGGGTGTCACTGGTGTTGGCGCAGGCTGGTCTCGAACTCCTGACCTACTGATCCACCCGCCATCGGTCACCCAAAGGTGCGTGGGGCTATATTACAGCGTGAGCCACCCATGCCTGCCCGTTTAAAAG